ACGGGGGCGCCCTAAGCGATGGCATCTGGTAATAGAGTCCACACTTAATTCAGGGATGTTCAACCGCTCTGATAATACCTTACTTGTGCAATGCACTAGGTTCTCATCCTGAGCTTCTGGCATTCCATGGACAAGCAACATCTTCCTCCTGGTCCTTACCTCCATTTCATCTTGCTGCCTAGAGAGAAGCTGGAGCTGAAGTTGCAGATTCTCAAGTGCTGACAGGACGAATGCCCTAAAGGCATTAAATTGTGCATTAATATTGGAAGAAGGGCTCGTTGCAGGGATGGATGTTCTGACCTCCCTCTGGAACTCATCCATACGTGAAGTGAAATTCAGTGTTAGCTCTTCAATTGACTTCTTAAGCAAATCCATTTTGAATATTCAATTAAAGGTTACTTAAAGGTCAATGTCAGGTGACAGTGAAGTGGCAAAATCAGTTTTAAGTTGTGCAATGAAAAACAAATTATTAGTAAACAATGCTGGTGGATTTATGTAATTACAGGTACATTTATATACTTGATTGTTCTAAATTTACTATATTAAAACTTTAAAAAAATCAGGAACGATTTTAAATATGTCAACACACTTTTGCGCCTACCCACCGAAAGTTTTTATATATCAAATATAATATATATTTGATATATAAAAACTGTATTTGGCTACAATACGGTTTGACAGATGCACTATACAGCATCTGCAAAACGTTTCATACAATTTTATATTTTATTGTTCTCAAAAGAACTTGTCACTGCCTATCTGTAGTTCGAAGGCAAAAGCAATATATTTCACTCTACTCTGGATCTTCAACTGATAATCTAGGTATTGATAGAGGATGAAATAGATGTTAGGTCCTCAAGGAAATATTTACATACTTGTAACTACTTCTTTGGGTACAGGATCATCACAGTCAATTTCAAGAAGATTTTTATTTTTATTTTTATTTAAACTTTGTTGAACCTCACATAAGTACAGGATGAAAAAGCGGATTAATGCTAAAAGCATTATCTGTCAGTCAACCTTAGACCTGTTAAAACGTACGAGTATCGTTGAGTTAAAAAATAGATTACTGTATTATTCTAAGTAAATAAATGATACTTTTCCAAATAAATTACTTTTTGTTTAATTCTCTTTCAGTTATGATTTTGGATGTCAGTTTAATTTGCGTCAAACTTATGTGGCGGTGCTGTCGTCGCGCCACAAGCGAAACACATCGAAGCCTCAATCGCGCTAACAAAGTTCCGAAGTTAAATAATAATAAAGAATAGCTTCGAACTACCACTCGGAGCGTTGGCCGCTCCCCAGGCAGAACACCTTGCCCGGCGTGAGATCTCCCCTTTTCCTTCCACCGGCTACATTTATATAATTGTTGACACAAGTTTGCGGATTTACCGAAAAAAAGAACCGCTTTGTCGTGTCTACTCGGTTTCAAGGCCCTCCCCTTGTTGCCTCGGCAAGTACCGGAATCCTTGGCGTCAACATATCGAGTGATGTGCAGTTTCGTGGTCACTTGGAAGGCGAAATTGGCCTCTAAAGAGCTTGGCGTGCTCAGCAGAGCGGGACAGTATTTCATGCCGGCACGCCGCCTGCAACTTTACAAGGCGCAGGTTCGGCCTCACATGGAATACTGTTCCCATCTCTGGGCTGGGGCTCCACAGTGCCAACTCCTTTCACTTAAACGCATCCATTGCAGAGCGGCTCGAATCGTCAACGACTGAGTCCTATCACGGGCATCATAGGCGCGGCATCTTTGTGAATATAAATTTTAATAAATGATCCATCATTGAAAAATAAAACGAATTTGTGTTTTGTGACAGCTCGTAGGTCTTTGATATAAATTAATAATAACAAAGTCCCTATAAGTTTAAACGTTTTAGTGCTTCCTTATGGCACACTAAAACGTTTATATTGTTCATTGGCCACGTTTCAGATCCACAAGTCATCACTTGCAATACGTACTGATTGTATAAATCTTGTTTTCAAGTGTTGTGTTATACCTGACGAGAAGATGTCTTAATCTTCCGAACGCTGCCGAGCCGAGTTGACTCCGTCAATTAACCTCTCGGTCAAAGTTAGACTTACCTAGTCGGACTATTCGTCCCAGGTAAACATACTTGTAAACAACTTCGAGCTTAGTGCTCCCAACAACTAACGGCATAGGTATGACATGTACAATACATATTCTTTTGTCCATGTTCATTTTAAGACCTATCTGTTGGGAGACACTTTTGAGGTCATTGAGTGAAATCCTTAGTCCCTTCAGCGACTCTGCCATAAGGACTATATTGTCGGTAAATCTAAGATGAGTGATGTTTGATTCCAATGCAGCGGTGAAGAGTTTTGGGGATATAAAGTCACCCTGTCTTACACCTCTCTGTAGTTGGATAGGTTTCGTACTCTAGTTCTGTACTCTGATATCTATGTAGCCCTACCATACAAACATTTCAGCACCGCATTTATTTTAAAACGTTACCCCCACACTAGGATTTTCTCCTGTGTCGTGGAGGCAGTTTACAAACATAAATTACACGAGGATAAATATCCAGACCCGCAACAATTATTTGTAGCGCAGCAACTCATTGCTAAGCCCCTGCGCCACGGAGCCTTCAAGATTCTAGAGCTCTAGATTCAAGATTCAAGAGCCGTCATTAGAATTATACTTAGTAAAGTTTAATTCTTTATATATTTTAATTTCTGTATATTGCTTTCGTTCTGTAGGTAAGCTATTTACTAATCTAAAGCAGAACCTCTTCTATGTTTCAAATGTTTTAAGCAATAACTTATGATAGATTTCGATAAGTCTTAAAGAAAGTAGTGTACCTATTAAACTTTTAATAAAAACCCTTGGGGTTAAGAAAAGGAAAAGCGCGTTGGGTACTATCCCTTTCCTTAACCCCAAGCGGTTTCTACGTAAGCATTCTGTATGCTTACGTAGAAACAAACCAGGCTAAATTTTTTACCAAGGTACTCGTAAGGAAGGTCGGAACTGTTGCAACAAGATGCTGATCGTTTTTTGTTTCGGTAAAACGTGGCTTCACCATTACAATACCAAAATAAAATTATAGGCTAAGATTTGAAAACACCATCATCAACAACTCCAACTATGGTATTTAAGGCAAGACGGTTATAGACACTTTGTATGCAGAACAAATAATAATTAAAAATTAAAAATTTTGTACAACCGACTTCAATATTAATTATTAAGAATAACTCAAAAACTATTAGTCAGACCACACTTGAAGCACCATCTTTCAAATAAAAAAAGAATCATCGAAATCGGTTCACCCAGTAAAAACTTATGAGGTAACACACATAAAAAACATACAGTCGAATTCAGTACCGTCTCCTTTTTGAAGTCGGTAGAAAAATGCTCTGCAAAATCGCTGACAAATGGTAAAGCAAGCTCACAAGATTATTTTGTTTCATCAAGATGGACGCCCCGTCTCACAAGACCGCTGTTGCGAAAACTGGAATTTGAGATGTCAGCTTTGAAATACATGCATAAATAATATATTCACAAGACCTAGCACCCAGTGATTTCCATCTATTTTTGAGATTATAGAAGCATCTAAAAGAAAAGAGATTTGAAGATGATGAAGCAATATTCACTACAGTAGCGTACATTTTAGTGCTCAGAAAAAAAGATATGTCCTTAAAAGATTACGACAATGTTGAAAAATAAAATATCATTTAATAAAGGTAAGTGGTAACAAGTTACTCATTCTCTTTTTATTGAACGCCCCTAGTACAATACATAAAAGATAATTATAATTAAAATAGCAGCCTATTTACGTCCCACTAACGGCCACAAGCCTGCTCTAATTCGGTTTGCTCGATCAGCTTATGTATTGTAAAATTTCAAAAAGTCAAGCACTTTCCTTCACTACACAGAGTAACGGCAATATAAGTATAGATAAAGATGTAACAAATTGGGACTAAAATAACTAAGAAACATATCGTGACTTCTAGGCTGAAACACAAGGGTTGACGTGACTTTTCACGCAGAGAACAGCCACGGCTTGTATTACTACCGTGTAGTGGCGGTGTAAGAATATCCATTACCCCATATCACACGTGGGTGTCGTAAGAGGCGACAGAAGGAAACAAATCAGGAGTTGGACAGCAGCGTCTTCTTAATAACGACTAAAAATAAAAAATAAACTACGTTTGGCAACCCGCTTGCCAAGCGTAGCAACTATGGCAAATATGCCATGAAGACCCAGCCCAGCAATAGACTTCAATATGTTGTAACGGTAACAATTTGTAATACTATAAATAATAGTCAGTGATTATTAGCTCAGTAAATTGTTTCAAAATTATTATTTTGTTCTTATGGCAAAACAATATAAAAATTAAATTCCAAAAAAATAAAAAAAATAAATTTCAACACAAGGCATAACATAACTTGTACTTGCTTTTTAGAGCAACGTTGCTTTTTATTTTTTGTAAAACAGTTTTAAACGTACGTTCAAATATATAAATAATGATATACCGTTATTGCAATTTTTGAAAATGCGATTAAACAAAGCTTCCACTTTTATTTGAAATTAACCCAAATTGAATGTGATTTATGGGCAACAACATTTTTGTTTACCGATCGATCCTTACAAATGCGCAGTAAAAGCGGTTAAAATAATGCATTACCACGTATGTTGATTTTAAAAGATAAAAGGACAGAATGTTTGAGCTTTTTTAATTAATATTTCTTGACCATTGGCATGTATTACTTATTCTGAACCTTCTCTGAAAATATGACCGGTTATTGCAAAATAACCCTGTATAAATACAATAACATAATAGGTGCCGACGCGTAGCTCTATATATAATTACGATAACATATTTAGAAACGATGTAAAGTCCATCAATCAGTATCTACTGCAGGCAGTGAGGCCACCATATATCTCATTCACATGAGGAGGGCTAGCAGTAGGACGCATACGTTCTAATTACCTTGCCGCTACTACACTACAAAGAATAGTAAACAACTCTGAAAAACTTACCAAATGAGCACCGACAAGAAGTACAACTTCAAAGATGGCTTCCAGCAAATACAGTATGACAGGAAGCCACGCCTGTGTGACGAACGACGCGCCTCTATACAGCGTCATCGTGTGCTCCATATCCTTATCGCCTGTTAATAGCCATATCTCTACTCCTAGGGTCAGGAGTGAGAATATCTGAATAAAAAGGATCCGTTGTCAGTTACTAGACAGGTCACTGTTATCAATTAATTTATGGTTCTTCTAAATTCCACGGTTAGTGTTGACAAAAGCAGGACAAGACAAAGTTATAAATTCAATCGAACTATATATTTTTAATTTATAGAAACAAAGGTGACAAACGAGCACACTGACCACTAAGATAATTCTGTGGCATATAGAGACACCTACATTTATTCTCGAAAAATAAATAAAAATACAGATGCGCTGTAACCCCTGAGGATAATTAAAAAGGTTCACTTGAGATTTTGTGAGAGCGTTACGCTTTCCCAGACCAGCCGACCCATTTGTGCTGCAGCCATTTTAATCTTGTATAACATAATGCCATCAAAAACACAACTTGTAAAAACCAAGTCTCGCAACTCAGTTCTTCTACCGTAAAAAGTTGTGAGATCCATGTAATACCAAGTCGGTTAATTTATTCAGTCCCTACTTAAGGGTCCTTCTCTCTTAAGTTATTAGGTAATTAGCTAACCTAACAACATCTTATAGTGACCATATCAATATTAAAAATCTTTTATGTTTTAAATAAATAGATTGACTTGGCCATCGCATGAAAACGCAATGTATCTCTCTAATACATATTATATTAAATTAGATTGTTTAGTATCATAGCCAAGTCAGTGAGTGACAAAACTAAGAAACTTTGACTAGTTCTAATTCTTAAACTACTAGTTAGTTGATTAAATTTGAAATGTACCGAGTATATACAATGCCTACTTGGTTACTGAAAATTCAGGATTCTAATTTCATCTACAACGAAGTTATAGGGTTTCGAAAATGGCCTGAACTGAGTCGAGAAAAGGTTGGTACGGCCGTGCCGTTTTTTTGCTCGACTTGGCGGGGGCACTGCCGTGCTCCCTGATATAATATACTAAACACCATTTGACTTTAAAAAAATATAGACTTCAGCCCCATTAATGTCCTCGAGACCGAATTTCGGTCACGGCTGCCAGTCTCAACGTAGGGGGACTAGTCACCTGCGCAGGAACCGATGACCGATGTGACAGTAATCCGACAAGACCGATGAAAGATCAGGCGCAGGATTTAGCAACGGCTTTACGTGCTTTCCGAGGCACGAAGGTAAAACACCGCCAACTTCTTGACTCCAGACTGCTACTGAGAATTTCTAGACACAAAAATTCAATAACAGATTTTGACTCAACGCGTGATTAGAACCCAGAACGTCATGATAGCAATCGCGTTTACAACTACTAGATCGCTGAGACAATCATTAATATCTATATATACATATAAATAAAATTGAAGTGTCTTTTTTTATAGGATAGGGTGTCAAACGAGTACATAGTACACCTGATGATAAGTGGTTGCTGTGCCCCATAGACATCTAAATTTATCCTCAATAAATTCGTGCTACGACTATACTACTAATATAGCTGCTATGGCTCTATCACATATGTCAGTCTCTAATATTTAATTAACTAACTTCTATTAAGCTCAGGGGGTGATTTGCATGCTATTAAGATATGACTTACCATTTTTAAAGTTTTTGTGTCTGTATGTCTTTCTGGAATAATCTTCAGAATGGCTGAACCAATTATTGTGAAACTTCACGAACAGATAGCAGTGCAAGAAATGATCTAGGTTCTTTTATGTCCCAAAAACTCGTAGAATTTTTTGGTGAAATTGAACAGATAAAATAAATGGTTTTTATGATTATCTTTATTATTAAAAGATTTAAAAAAAGTTTCCAACAAAACCTTTTAACTTGCAATTTTACACAATCAAGGTCCCAACACAATTTTCCATCTCTAAATGTTTTCTTTATGCAAATCGATTTCTAACATTTTTTACTTCAACACAATTTTGCAACAAAACTATAAGCGTTAATAAAACCTTTTTAGTTAGATTTTGATTTTGAACATTTTCCCATAACGCACTACTTCAATTATCGTGGTTTCTCCATGGTTAAAGTATACGCCCCGTTACCGTTACAGCCTATTAAAGTCCACTGCTGAACATAGACCTCCCCCGTAAATTGCCTCATAGAGGGTAAATTTACCACGCTTAGCAATCGGGTTGGCAACCGCTGTTTTTTATTTTTAGTCTTTATAAGGAAGACGCTGCTGCCTATCTTCTAATTTGTTTTGCTCTGTCGCCTCTTACGACACCCACGAATATTAAGTGTGTGGTTAGCTATATTGGTAGTATAGTTGTAGCACGAATGGGTCGGCTCGACCGGGGAAGGGCCACGCTCTCACAGAATACCAGCGTAAAATAGCGGCTTAGTACTGTTGTGTTTCGTATGGTGAGTGTAGAAGAGTGTAGAAAACCGGAGCCCCTTTTTATTGGAAAAGCGGCATTCCATCTTAGTCCTCACGGGTGACAACGCATCTGCATTTCGATTCTTTATTGAGGATAGATGTAGATGTCTATGGGCCACAGCAACCACTTACCATCAGGTGGCCTGTGTGCTCGTTTGTCACCCTTATTCTATAAAAGTGCGGTAGTGGATATTCTTATACCGCCAATACATGGTAAAGTAATTTTCCAAATACTACTCTTACATATCCGTAGGATTTTTGTTTCAGTTCTAATTCTTGTTGTTAGATTACCCAATTAATACTGATTTATCTCGACCACGTCCTAAATTTGATTTTAAAAAAGTAGTTGAGTCGAAAGTAATGGATGGCGACTTAAAAAATGCATCCCGTATTTTATTCTCAGACGACATCCTGGCTCCTCGTAATGTCGAAACTCTTGAAAGCCTTCGTCAAAAGCATCCTTCGGTCACACCGTCTCAGGGTTTACTGCTGCCTCCCAAGACTTCTATGCAACCTTTACGAATTTCGGAAAAAGACACTTTAGAAGCAATTATGTCATTTTCGAATGGCTCTGCTGGCGGCATTGACGGAATTACGCCTCAACATCTTAAAGATCTTGTAAGCGCTTCTGCCGGTGACGCCGGCGGAGTACTTCTTAAAGACATTACAAAATTATGTAACTTTATGCTTTCTGGTAATGTTAATCCAAATTTCATTCCATTCTTATATGGGGCAAGATTATGTGCCTTCAAAAAAAAGGATAACGGTATCCGTCCTATTGCCGTTGGTTCCACATTTCGACGCTTAACTTCAAAATTAGCTTGCAGGTACATAATCTCTAACCTTAAGACCAAATTTCAGCCTACTCAACTAGGTTTTGGCACTAGAGGTGGCTGTGAGGCGGCGGTACATTCAGTGCGTACATTTTTAACAAACTCTGATGCAGATGTTCTTGTGAAGGTTGACCTAAGGAATGCTTTTAACTCTATCGATAGGGTAAACTTGCTGAAAGAAGTGGCTAACAATACCCCCGAAATTTATCATTACGTTTGGCAATGTTATAGTCATATTTTGACTAACTTGTTTTACGAAAACCATGTTATCGATTCTGTTGTTGGTGTTCAGCAGGGTGATCCACTGGGTCCAGCACTTTTCAGTTTGGGAATTCAACCCTTTATTTCAAATTTGAAATCCAAGCTGAATGTCTGGTACCTAGACGACGGTACACTGGGAGGTAGAGCAGATGACGTCCTCAGCGATCTTACTCATATTTTTCGAAATTTTAAAAATATTGGCCTTGAACGAAATAGCAATATATGTGAAATATTTTTTTCCAATAATTTATCTACTTCTCATAGAGACAATTTAATTCAAAATTTTAATCATATTTGTCCAGGAATAAAAACTGTCAATACGGAATCACTATACCTGCTAGGTGCCCCGTTGTTTTTCGATAGTATTAAACCTGTTTTAAAAACAAAATTTGATCAGTTTTTAAACCACGTTGATAAATTGTATAAATTAAACCCCCACATAGCTCTTACTATTTTAAAATATTGTCTTCTTGTACCTAGATTTACATACTTACTCCGCTCGAGTCCAGTCTGGAAATGTTCGGATATTTTACAAGATATTGATAATAATCTTAAAATTGCTATAGAAAAAATTCTAAATTTAACTTTAAATACAACAGCCTGGGCTCAAGCTACTTTACCTATAAAATTTGGTGGCATTGGTGTGAGAAATCTTTCTAGCGTTGCATTGCCTGCTTTCCTTGCTTCCGTGCATAGTGTCAGTGACTTATGTAACATAATTTTAAATAATAAAGTAGACCTATGCTTTGCTACGGAGGCAGGGCAGACATGGCAAACGCTCTGTCCTGGTGAAAATATTCCACTGGAAGTTAACCAACAAAAACAGTGGGATATTCCGTTGGTACAGGGCGTGCAGAAGGATTTGTTTCATAATTTCCATAGTGACCAAGATAAGGCACGCCTTCTAGCTGTTTCGACTAAGGAATCTAGTCACTGGTTACACGCTTTACCATCAAGTGATCTCGGCACATTACTTGATAGGGAAAGCTTGCGTATTGCCGTAGGAATCCGACTAGGAGCGGCGATTTGTCAACCCCATCAGTGCCCCTGTGGTAGCAGCGTCGACAAGTTTGGGCTCCACGGACTTTCATGTAAGAAAAGCGCTGGTAGGTTTTCACGACACAGTTCTTTGAACGATGTCATCCGAAGGGCTCTTGCCTCTATAAATGTTCCCTCGGTTTTAGAGCCTTGTGGAATATTTAGAGACGATGGCAAGAGACCCGACGATATGACATTGGTCCCTTGGGAGAGAGGTAAAGCCCTAGTGTGGGATGATACTTGCGTAGACACTCTGGCGGCCTCTCATCTCAGGGGTACCTCGTTTAAAGCCGGGGCGGCATCTGAGGCAGCTGAGCTGAGTAAGTGGCGCAAATATGAGTCTCTGAGAGATGACTACATATTTGTGCCATTTGCTGTAGAGACTCTCGGTCCGTGGGGTCCACGTGCGGTGAAGTTCCTAAAGGAACTCCATCCGCGGCTGGTCGTTGCTGCTGGTGATAAGAGGGCTGGTTCTTTCCTCGCTCAAAGGCTAAGTATAGCCATTCAGCGGGGAAACGCAGCCAGCGTTCTTGGCACGATACCGCGGGGAGTAGGACTATATGATAATTAAGTTTCTAGTTTTAGTTTTTTTTATTATCATAGTTTTTAATATTGTAGATAAAATTAAGTATTATGTAAAATTGTAAATAAAGGTTTTTTTATTATTATTTATAAAAAAAATTCTTGTTCTATAAAAAAAAATGTAAAAAATAACGGAAAATAAGAAGAATTGAAGGTGGAACTGTAATCTCCCACACTCTTTAGAAGTATAAAGTATTGCGCAGGCAACTAAGAGCGATCAGTCTGTAATTCTACGAGTCTCACAGTCTTTATTATGCCCGTTGGGATAAAACATTACCTATGCACTGAGATTCTGCCTAAGCAAGACAAGTGACGTGGTTTTGTTTGGTGTGGTGGTTCTACTAGTGAAATCAAGTGAAGATAGTGTTGCTGAGAGGCTGCCCTGTGTTACATTGAGATGGGTAGTATTGCTGTTGGTTTGCATAATTTGGTGTTATTATGCAATTATGTCCTTCACATTACATCATTGTATGATTGTGACAGGAATATATTACGGTTGGTCAAACTGTGTTTGCTCTATGCTAAATGTGTAGTGCAGTACGGTGTCTGTCTTTTTCAAAAACAACTTGCATAAGAGCAAGTTGAACATCCGCTCTTAAACTTTTTTTTTATTAATTATCTTTGAGAGTAATTTCTAAAAAGATTAATATTCTGTAATTAAATAATTTTGAGAATATATTCTAACAATATCGTAAATATCGAAATAACATTACATCCAATTGTTTTATCTCTTAGTAAGCACTGTTCTTGACGCAGTAATCAATAACATTCTGTGTTTTTGTTTTTAAAAGGCATCTGGCAAATAACACATGGTTGATAAGTAACTTCACATTACATTGATACTAACGATATAATTCCGAGAAATAATACAATACCTAATTTTATATGCTTGTAGATAAGCCGTGTTAAGTCGTAAGCTATTCTATAACCCTATTGCTGTCCATTACTAAATGGAGCAAATACTCGTATTAGTAAATTTTAAAGGAATTTAAAATCTTCTAAAGGTAAGAATTTGAAAATATTCCATGCTTACGACTGTTAAACAAATTATAATTCAACAGAAGCCTACAAAAGTCAAACTTGTTTCGATAATTCTGTACATAATTTTCAAGAACATGTAAATCTGATATATTAAGTAAAATTTTGTATACAGCACATCTTCCTATTTTGTCTGTGAAAACAATATATTTATTAAACGGTTTAACTACTACAAATAAAATATTAAAAATTGCATTTGTGTTAAAAAATTGTCCTTTTCTGATATTTATAATATACAAATCTAAATGAAGCCATTATCAATATTTTTATGGAAATAATGGTTTCCACATAGAATTATTACCATAAAACCGAGGAAAAGACAAAGGTGGATAGCACGTGGTAATATAGTGCAAGAGGAAAGTAAACTACTATGATGCTATAGAATGAATCCGAGTCCTTTAACCAAATCACGTTTCGGAAAATATTCTAAAAAAAATTAAAAAACAATTTTAAGCTAACATAGCGTACCCTATATTGTAATAATTTTGGTACATTAAAAACAACGATAAATCACGATAAAGTTACGTGGCAAATACATCAAAATATCACAAAATTATTTTACCAAATATTACAATACCTACAAAAACTATCGGTGGATAATTAAATTATACAAAATCCTCAAAAAAATATAAAATAAATTCAATGATTTCTTTATCGACAAAATTCAGCCATTATTCGGATTGAGCAAAGAAGTAAGAAATTAAAATAGCTCATAATAATTTTGTATTCGAGATTGTTAAGTTAACATTGTTCATATTACTTATATGTATTATATTATGAAATACAGTCGTACTACAATTATTATACATTTTTTGCTTCCTTCTTTCTTTCTTTCATTTGTGCTACACCTACAATATATATGCTGCATGGTGTTGAATCATGATACCTTTGTCAAGATCTATTAATGTATCGTGAAAAAAAAATTGAGCGGAAAAATACGTACTCGTATGTGTACATATGAATGTACATACATCGTGTATACTGATTACTAAACTACACCTGCCTCTTCATTTTAATTAATAAATCTATCAGAAAATGTATTTAACGATAATAATTATAAAATAAAATTACGGCAATTGACATAAGTGAAAGAAAATGGAGTATGATTACGGGCAGGTAAACTACTAAAAAAAAATTTATTAATGTTTATTGTCTACGATGAGGTTATCTATGTTATAATTTTGTATATTTTTAAATAATCTATACGATATTTATAATAGTAAAAAAAACCCTAAAACTAATATTATCATAATAAAAATGACAAAGGAAAATAAATCTTAAGCCTTACTCCCCGCGTTGTGCCAAAATCGCTGACAGTTTCCTTGATAAATAATGAATTAAAATAATTAATATAACGTAACACTCACCAAATTTACATATCCAAACACGATGATTCCGTACCGAAGTGGAATAAAGCAGCAACAACGTCTGCATTCTGGGATTTCCAACTGCATGACTTAGCGCCACCAATGCAAACACAACACGGATTTAATCTTTAATTTACGAGTATATAAACTATAAAACATTCACATCGCAATTTCGACGACGAGATATGTTATGCAGGCCTGAGCTCACCGATTGAAGCATACAATACTAAGAATCATCCTACAGTCATCTGAGTTGCTACAATTATCTTATTTGTCGTCCGCGTATCAGGAAATGCGGCATTATGGCATAAAGTACCCGAATTCAGTCATCTGGATAGTTGGTTGTCTGTCATTTCTTTGTTTTCAAGTGCATCTGAAGGTCGTTTACTTATAGCTATCATACTTAACAGGTTAATAAATTATAAACACTGTTGAAATCTATGTAGTTATTTGTAGCTTAGCTTAGAACGACAGTAGCGCTGGCCTTAAAATTTGAAAGTACACGAGCAAGCCGAATTCGGTTCCCGCCGACGTATACGCGTATAAATTCTTGATTGTAATTTTAAGTGCTGGGCACGTGGTTAACTTGGTAAGGGAAAATATCGTAAAGAAACCTGCATCTAAAACGTATGTGCATTGCGTAGGTAGGTATATGTTCGTTGCCCCAAAATAATACTCTTAATTAGAGTGCATGTCTGCGCTCGGAAGCGGGACATATGTAAGCTATTTAAGTTTTTGAATAGATCACCGGAAAATTTTTGCGAAAAAACTACTTTTGCACATATATGTATTTTTTTATAGGATAAGGGTGGCAAAAGAGCACACAATTCACCTGATGGTAAGTGGATGCTGTGGCCCATAGATATATATATATATATCAATCTTCGGTTAGGAATCAAATTGCTGATGCGTTGTCAGCCGTGAGGACTAAGATGGAATGTCTCGTTTCCAGTAATTCAGAAAAAAGGGTGTCCGGTTCTCTACACTCACCATACGAAACACAGCTCGGTTAAGCTGCTATTTTACGCTGGTATTCTGTGAGAGCGTAGTCCTTCACCGATGGAGCCGCCCCACTCGTGCTACAACTATGCTAGTAATAACTGTAGCATGGCTCTACCATGTATGTATTTATACACTGGCCAGTTATGATTTTTTACGAACCACCAGTAAAAAGTACGAATTTTCCCGTTTCATATTTATCTCCACATTTTTTACGAGCTAAATAATAATTATTATTATTGTAGCGAATTAGTCATATATTTGTATGTATGTTAAGCAAGTAATTTTTTAACCATATTCTTTTTTATCATAACCTTGTATTGTCATACGAATTTGAGCAATATAAAAAATTTCAATATTCCAGCTCATCGGGAAGTTAGTTTAAAAAAAAATACTAAATTACTAAATTCCACCCGGAACGACAGGCAAACACGAAAATAACTTAATAAAAACGTGGTAATAAAATGTAACATTTTCGACGATGTTTTTTTATAATTTCAAACCTCACCTAAAACCGGATAAATCGTTTTAAAGACTTGATTTTAGAAGCATTTATTGATAAAGGGCCTTCTTTTTATACGATAGGGTGACAAACGAGCACACAGTCCACCTGGTAAGTGGTTGCTGTGGCCCATAGATATCTACATTTATCTTCGTTTGCGAATCAAAATGGAGATGCGTTGTCACCAGTGAGGACTAAGATAGAATGCCTCTTTTCCAGTAAAAAGGGTCTCCGGTTCTCTACACTCACCATACAAAACACAGCAGCATGAAGCTGCTATTTGACGCTGGTATTCATAACCCTTTTATTATCATAGGCCTTTTAAAGCAGTCGTGTACCGCTGATATAACAAATTTCAGCATAGTCAACTAATTATTAGAGATTATGAAAGAAGTAGAAGCGCTTTGACGTGAAAGAAGTAGACGATGGAGACAAGCGCTCAAAACCGGAGAACCTCCTGGACACCGCACCGGTTAAGCTTTGGGTCACATCTGATTTGATACCATGTGACTTATTTTACTCCCTTGAATAAAAAACAGCTAAAAGCGATTCATTATTCATCCCAGAAGATGCTCTATAGTAGCGTTTTATTTATTTTTATTTGGGATACCAAGCCTAACCAAACCATAGGAAACACAGCTACATTAAACTGCTATTTCGGGCTAGTGATCTGTGAATCGTGGTCCTGCTACAACCATAATATAGCAGCGTCGCTCTATCCATACCACTGTTCCAATTTTCAAATCAAAAATTGATTTGGGTTTTACTCCTTCCACCTAGATGTTCTAGTTTATTTTATAGAATATATCTACAAATAAAAAGGTTCCGAATAAAAAGGAAAAATAAAACCCGATAAAATTCGTAAAATTTATTTTATTCATATCCATACATAGTTTCATCCAAATCGTTAGAACTCTTCCGAGAAACAAATTACATATATACAAATATTGCTCACTGAAAAATATAGGATATTAATTAAATCTAATAATAATATTAATTATACCTAGGTCTATAACCATAGTACATATTTACAAATTAAATTCAAATAAAAAAGAAAGTACAATAGTTAATACTGTCTGTACAGATAAAGAATGGGTTTGGAAATGGCGGCTCATCGAGCCAACATCAACATCAACATCAACATCATCAACGCATCGCATACACCCATAGCGAAATCCTGCCTACAACAGTATATTGTTATGCTGGGCTGGCTACACTAACGAGAAATGCCGTTATTTATGTAGGTGTGGCCACGACTTAACGCGTTAATTTGCCGTTTGCCGTTTAGCGATAACTCGAGTGGCGGTACATCAAAGAGATTAATGCAGGAAATAACGCGTTGAAGCGGCCACACTACGTTTGTCTCATTGTGAACGGTGAGCGCAACAGGGTCGCACGTGGCTATGATGGGGTGGAATAATGAAAAAGTTATTACGTTTCTTGAGATTCTGCATACAGAGCCATGTTTCTAGGATCCGAGACTCAAAAGTGTTAAGAATCGTACATCGTAAAATGATTTATAACTAGCGATCTGATCTCGCTTTGCCTGGGTGGGATCTATTGATGTGGCATTATTTTGACCTAAAAAAAAACATTAAAGACTATTTATTTTATTTTATCAATATTTCTATTTTGATAAAAATCTCTTAATTTGTTCGTGAAGTTTTATTACAATTGGTTTAATCGTTCCGAAAATTTGCTCGGCCAGACAGACAAACGAAAACATTGTGCATGGCCAAACACGCATTTGGCTAGGTTTTTTTTCACTTATTTATGGCATCACTCATTGACGGCTTCGTGGCGCAGTGGGTTAGCAATGAGTTGTGGCGCTTGGGGCAGCGAGTTCGAATCCCGCACGGAAGAAATATTTGTATGACCTACAAATAATTATTGTTACAGGTCCGTGTCCATGTGCAATTTATGTGTGTTAACTGTTTCCACGATACAAGAGAATATCCTAGTGTGGGAGTAACGTTTAAAAAATATCTATTGTATGAGGAGAAAGATTTCTTCTAAACTCGCTAAAATGGTTGGCACAAAATATAAGCAATTTGAAGAATGTAATTGGTTAGCAGAATGACTATCTGCTAGCCAAATGCGGATTTAAATTGTCATCTAAAAAATATTTACAACAATTTCCTTTATAATATTTACTCCAGCATACAATGTACTTTAAATTAAACGCAGCCAAGTGCGCTGGTTTTCTGGTTTTCTTCTTTCTTCGCATCATTGTTAGGTACCACTGTGCTTGGGTACACTCCATTACTTTCAGCCTTCAATTCGCCACTGACGATTTGTTGAAGCTGATTCTCATATGCATGGGAGTCCGAGATCTTCAACTTAATCAGCAAACTCCTCACCAAGATTATCAAGTAAACATGTAAACCTGTTCAAAGTAAAGAAAAATAAGAATATAAAATTTATAACTATTACCTAAAGCCTTATAAAATATTTTAATATTAATGACCTCCAGACCAGATTTCGGTCACGGCGGCCACTCTCTACAGAGACTATCCATTTGCGCAGGACATGATAATAGTGCATAAGTGTGTGTGTAAGCACAGACCCTCACTCTAATCCCTCTTATAGTCTGATGGAACGGCAACCCAACACGCCTGGAGAGAGATGAAGCTTAGAACCAACGGCTTTGCGAGTGCTGAAAATTTTTTGACTGAAAAATCCAAAAAATTATTGGCCCAGGCCTGAGATGCGAATCCGGATCCACATGATCAACAGACACCCTTGTGACCACAAGACAAACGGTACAGCCAAATAATTTAATTTATATTAATTAATTTAAATATTTTGATAAAATGTCGATGGATGCGGGAGTCTCATGACCGTGCTTTGTGGAGACCTATGTTCACCAGTGGACTTGCGATGGGCTGTAAAGATGATGATGATAATAATGAATATTCAAATGAAAAAATAAATGGCTAGTGATCACTGCAGCCGATAGACACACGTAACCAACATCACCACTACGTGGTAGGACTGTTTTTTTGGCCTAGGAGTCTGTTTGTATATGTACCATCAACTTTTCTATTCCTGCCGCCAAGAAGCAGTGTATTCGCCGCTGTTCCGGTCCGAAGATTATTGTAAACTAGCTGTTCCCCGCGACTTCGTTCGCGTGGAATTCATTATGCTTGGATTTTATGGGTTTTAACTTTTTGGCGCAGAACCCAATTATTTTTCTAGTAATGAAAGTAGCCTAAGTTACGCCTTATAACGTCAGCTATCTGCCAGTGAAAGTCTCGTCAAAATTGGTCCAGCCATTTCGGAGATTAGCCGGAACAAACAGACAGACAGAAAGACAAAAAAATTAAAAAAAATATTTTGTTGTAAGTACAGTATATAGTTTCATATGCGTTTAGAAAAAAGTTCTTATTTTGACATTACAAAGAGACATTTCAATTTTATTTATTTGTATATATGTACATATATATATATATATATATATATATATATATATATACATATATAGATATATATATCTATATATCTATATATATATATATATATATATATATATATGTGTGTGTATACCATTCCACCTTAATTCTCATAGGTGACGACGCACCAGTAGCCATTTTAACACGCATTAGCTTGGTATGAATCTACTCGTATGTAACCTGGACCTTGAATGTATTTTTATCCCCTTCAAAACGTCGGATTGATTTGAATCTTCGCACACTTATCAAGGACCGATGACAATGCAATAATTTAAATAGTTTGTTATCCAAGGAAGGAAGAAAGGAAGGATCCTAAGGATTTGCGAATAATTCATAAAACAACTACGATTTCTGCCAGTTCAATCTACTGTAAGCCGCGTAAAAGAACGAAGTGTTCCAAAAAAAAAATAATACGCTTTTGTCGCTTAAAACAGTTTGTCGCACTAAAAAAATAGAAAAGAAATAATAGCTTAAAAATACTAAAAAAAAAACACGCTTATGTAGATAACCGAACTAAAAAGTAGTACATGATTTTCAATAAGTTGTAAATAATAAAATAGTGATTAACATTAAAAATTCAGTTTATTGTAAAAAAGCGTGGGGTGCTTGATATCATTTGTTGTAAATGTTTTTGTGGCTATTTGTAAAATTAGCGCCATCATAAAAATATCTGAAAAAGCACCTCACGCTTTTTTACAATAAAATTATTTTTTTTTGATAAACACTATTTTCTTATTTAAAGCTTATTGAAAATTATTTTATACTTTTTATTTAGGTTATCTACAAAAGCGTGTTTTTTTGTTGCCTTAAACAATTATTTATTTTTTGAAAATGGTCGTAGGTGTCTATGGGCTGCATTAGTCTCTAACCATTAGACAGGTGGACTGTATTTTCTTTTGCCACTTTAATTTTATATAAAAAAAATCAAATAAACAAGATTACACCGCTGCGAAGCTGAAGACTACAATTAGGCTGACTTCTTTAACCTTCATTCAATCCGCAACACAATGTTAGAAGCACTGCCGCTTTGCGATGAAAAGAAGTAAGAGGATCGTCTTTTCGAGGGTTCCTAGCGCAAATAAGATGCTTCCCCACGTACTGAAATTCAGTAGTATTGCCTTTATTAACCAAAATTACCGTGACAGCCCTGTGTAAGGAGACAGCCACAAAAACTATACGCACACCTAAATCTAAACAGCTTTAACTAAAAAATTTTTCTCAGAAAAGTCGAAAAACTGATTGGTGTATTCCTGTACACTGCAGGAGTTTTCTGTATTGATCAATGCTTTTTAAATACAGATAGAAGATAGATGTTACAGGAATCATGTGTTTTAATCGATTATTGCGGCTGAAAATTGGATATTTGTAGGTATGTCGATATTGTTTAACAAATGTATGTACATTTTTTTTGGTATTTAGAGTTGAACCTGTGTTGGTGAGTTTAGTTTTTAGTTGATTCCCTTTTAAAGAATCAATATACATTTAAATGTAAGAGCATTTCCAACTTATATAGGGGTCTGTTAACAACAGAAGGGGTATATTGGCCAATGAATTAGCAAGAGAACATTGAGTTAAATACTAACATATTATTTATTAACAATTAATAGTAACATTGTCCATGCGGAGTTAAGTTTTTCAAGATCCGTCGCAGAAGAACACAAAATCTCTCCGATCACAATCTTAATCTCATAGCTGTTAGACGGGAAATGAAGCTGCAGTCTTCAGCATATTTGAGAGCATCCAGGCATCTGAACAGACAGATCTCCAAATGCATGCGGCGGGACTTACGCAACTTTAATACTCCTCGTATTGAAGAAGCGATCGAGCGGAACCAGGGCTCCAAAGGCTTTGCTAGAGATCTGTCTGCCAGAAAGAGCCACCTGTCGAAGCTGAAGGCCAAATGTGGTAGCATCGTTTCCGGGATACCTGAGATTTTGAGTGAGATTAAGAGATTCTATGGGCAGCTGTACACATCATCGTTGGAGCCACACACAAGTATGAGTAACGATCTAAGCGAGAACAAGTCTTATCCGACACTATTCCTATGTTATTATGGACGTCAGTTTGAGAGAAATTAGAATGGCTCTCCAGCACCTTAAAAACGGCAAGTCCCCGGGCGAGGATGGAATTACTTCTGAAAGCGGGTGTAAAACCGGTACTTGAAGCTCTTTAATTCCGTCCTCCATGGTGGGACTACTCCGGAGGCGTGGAGCAAAAGTGCGATGGTCTTGTTCTTCAAGAAAGGCGACAACGCTCTCTTAAAGAACTACAGATCGATTTCCATGAGAAAGCCTTTAATTCCGTCGAAATTTGGGCAATGCTACAGTCCTTTCAGCGGTGCCAAGTTGACTATCGGTATATCGAAGTGCCGAAGTGTTTGTACAGTAGGGCTGCGATGGCTACCCGAGTATAGAACCAAAGTACGGAACCTATCCAACTGCAGAGAGGTGGAAGACAGGGTGACGTTACAACCCCGAAACTCTTCACCGCTGCATTGGAAGACGTTTTCAAGCTACTGGACTGGAAATGAGGAATAGAATAGAATATTTTTAATCCATATAGAAATCCTCTGCCTCTGTCCTGGGAAGAACCAGCTGGAAATACAGCTGGTCTTTTTTAAAGTAATTTTTACAATATTGGTAGTACAAACTAATTACAAAATTCGTTTTAAAAACTGTTTGGAAGCGACAACCTCATTCCCCGAGTTATTATCTACCATGTATTCTTTTATATTATAATAACCCTTTTTACATAGTTTCAGCTTAATAAAACATTTAAAATTGTTAATAGAGAGAGCCTGTATACTTTCCGGGACTTTGTTGTAATAGCGTATACATTGCCCAAGTATGAATTACCGACTCTTGTGGAGTCGAAAAACTGGTATCACTAGCTTGTGTTTGTTCATAGTGTTTATATAATGAATATCATTTTTTTACTAAAACTGCCTTTTTCTTGTGAACATACATTAATAATGATTTCTTATATTTACGGGAACACTACACATTGAATAAAACTATTTTACGGATTTTATCGCGTTTAATTACATACATAAAATTTTTGTAAATATACTGAGAGGCCAAAGTTAATATATTTATTTCTTTAAATTTTATCTCTAAGAGACTCTCTTGGTTTTAGGTTATAAACAGCTCTAATGGCCCTCTTCTCTAAAATAAAAATATTTTCTGATTCAGCCGCATTTCCCTATAGCAATATCCCATAAGACAATATGCTATGGAAATAACTGAAATAAACTAATCTAGCTGTTTCGACACTCGTGAGACCTCTAATCTTTTTTACAGCATAAGCTGCATAACTTAGTATGCTTGCTAATTTGGGTATATGGAGTCCCTACTGAAGTTTTGCGTCGAGAGTGATGCCAAGAAAAATAGTGAATTCAACAGGGCTCAGTTCTTTTCCATTTAAAACACATGAGTATATCATATTTTTAACATTCGATGTTGTAAATTGAATACATTTAGTTTTATTTCCATTTAAATGTAGATTATTAACGTTATACCAATGCACTAATTTTGTTATAGCATTATTCACTTCGTCACATTTAAATGATGTTTAAATTTAAAAGTCAAGGAAGTATCATCAGCAAATAATACTATATCATGATTATCCCCTACAAGGGAAGGTAAGTCATTAATGTATACACTAGAAATAAGAATGGGCCCAGAATCGAGCCCTGAGGGACACCCAGTACAGGTGAGCCGGAAGAACTTTTACCATTGATAATAACGTTCTTGCATTTTATTGCTTAAGTATGAAATAATAAGTTTAAGCGCTGTGTTCTTGACACCATGGTACTGTGGCTTCCTGATAAATGCCTCATGGTGAACACAGTCGAAGGCCTTGGAAAGGTATCAACATGAATGGTGAGTACATCACTCACCTTCGATTTTCCGGCGATATTGAGTCCTTTTGACAGAAATGCTGTAGGACCTAATCACTATGCTCAATGAACTCAAAAGTACCTCCCAACGGATGGGTCTTAAGATGAACATGAACCAAACAAAGAACATGTTTAATGTCCATTTCACATCTATGCCAGTAGTTGTTGGGAGCACTAAGCTCGAAGTCGTTGACGAGTATGTTTACCTGGGACAAATAGTCCGACCAGGTAAGTCCAGCTTCGACTGAGAGATCAATCGACGGATTCAACTCGGCTGGACAGCGTTCGAGAAATTACGATTACGATGTTCCTTTATTTTGAGATTACCTCAAAACTTGAAAACAAAATTTTACAATCGGTGCTTGTTGCCATAATATATAAAATTAAACATTTTCAAAACCTCCGAAACAAAAAGACCTAATGATCTTCAAACGACTGAACAGATTTACTTGGAAAATAGCAAAAGAAAACTAAATCAAAATCAGTTCATTCGTGCAGGAGCAATGATGCCACAGACAGACGTAGATACACATATACACATACACACAGATATGCATATACAAATATACACATATACACACTATAGACTTATGGATCTGAAACGTGGTCCTTCACTGCTGACCGCATGAAGACGCTCAAAGTCGCTCAGCGAGCTATGGAGAGGGCTATGCTCAGGGTTTGTTTGCGTGATAAACTTAGAAATGAGGATATCCACAGTAGAACCAGAGTGAATGACATAGCCTAACGGATTAATAAGCTGAAGTAGCAATGGACCGACCATATAGCTCGAAGAACCGACAACCGATGGGGAAAAAAGTTCTCGAGTGGCAACCTCGTACCAGAAGTGTACGGCGACATCCCACTAGATGGAATGACGACATGGTAAGACATGCAGGAAGTCGATGGATGCAGGTGGCTCAGGACCGTGTTTTTGTGGCATTCCTTGGGGTAGGCCTATGTTCAGCAGTGGCGTTCTTTAATTATGTACCTCGATTTAAATTATCTTATAAAAGTCCCCGAGTTCCAAAATGCATCAAAAAGCAGTTGCCTTGATATTTTATCGATCTTATCTTTACATTTTAGCCGACATTTTTCTTTGCAAGGGGTCCAACTTTTCTCTGTAGCATTCGTGCTATTCCTATATCTTCGAATTTGACCGACCAGAACATTCGGACTTTCAACTTAACCAGAATCTCTCAGCACTTTCGGAAGTTATGATTTTCACATCTTTAGTTTTCATACTCTGTCTTTAACCCTTTTTTCTTCTATTAAGGACTCTTGGGAATTTATTTCAGCAACCATAGCATTTTGAGGGTTGAGTTGGTGAAATGTAGTATGTAATTTGTTGCACCATCCTGCTGTTGTTTAGACGTGCTTGAAATTGATTTATTAGACACGAAGAAGGTGGCATGCGTTTCCTTAGATGAGTCTTCATTGCTTAATGACACCTTGAGATCACCTAGCTGTGGGCTGTTTACTATTTACTAGTACAATATCTTTTTGTATTCTAAAGTTCTAGTATCAGGTTGCATATTTTCATGTTGAGTCATTAAGTTAGGGCTTATTTTTTCTTTGTCCCTCTCTTCAATCATATTTACTAAAAACCGTACACGATTCATTATTTTTCTGAAATAATAAATGTAAATTTCACTAATTATCAGGTTTGGTACGCTACATCGATTTAATAAGCCATTGATGTAATGTGCTCGATCTCATGAGCTTCGATGTAGTGAGATTAGATGTGGTGTATTGGATCCCATCTAAATAGCTCTAACTAAAAACTGTTCAGTAAAAACACAAAAGCAGGGTGAAAATAATGTATACATATATTAAGATGAAAAGGCTCATTCGCCTCTAACAACTAAGTTCATTTACATTTGTTTGAAATAAATATAAATGTTTATAAATTGACTTAACAAAATAGTGTCAACTACAAACTCAATTTTTTTTCAACAACGCGGTAACAATTCTAAATAAAAATAAAAACTTTACTCACTTTACTAACAACACTGGTTCAACTCAAAATGTAGCTTTAATTTACTCATTACTCATCATCAAAACGATGAAAACTCAAAATAATCTTACTGCAATTTCCTAACTTAACTAAAAAACACGGAATTAACTCAAAATAACTCTAATTTGTTTATGACGGGCACGTGCGTTCCGATTGTAATACTAACTGCAACTAGCGATGTTGCTGTTATGGTGGGAAAGGATCGGGGCTTGCTCATTCAACTAAAGGAGCTTCTACGGTCACCTAGCGTTGACTTGTTGAACTATTTTTGAATCTGTTTTATTGGTCGCTAGATAGAGACTTAAGGAACTTTTTGAATTAACTCTTTTTAGATCTAAGTGCGCGCTTATAGTGGCTGCTGTAAAAACTTCGACTGTTATAAATTAATAAAATTTCTCATGGCCTTGAATAAATATTATTTTTGATTTTATTTCAATGACGTATTTACATTAGACAGTACCAGAACAGGACGTTACATACATTGTCCAGCTATGTACGCAGCTAGCATTTCAATCACAACTCCAAAGTGACGATTACTCGTTAAAGTAATTACTTCCACAACGAATGTCATAAGCCCAGTTGCTATTGCGTAAAAGTAGAATGTTTTTAAAAATAATAAATTTCTCTGGAACAAACCAAAACATAACATTAATATTAAGTGGGTACACTAAGAGGTAGTATTATATCATTTTCTATAGAGTGAGGATCCATCAAAACATGGGATTTATTTAAAAGTTACTACCTCCGACAGTGGATGACAACTGTCTAAATTATAATCTAGCCGTAAAACACCCAAATTTGCAAAAGAGCGCAACTTCAAAGGTTGCCAAACAATCTCCCGTGAACACATAGCCCGTTTTTGTAGCAAAATCTTGTGAAAACTATTCGTAATACCTTTATCAAGAACTAAACATATAAAATTGATGTATGGTGCCAGCATATGATAACACATCACGCTTTTTCATCCTATGGGTACCCTAAGAGCTACCTATTTTTGATAGATGGACGTAAAAACATCCAGTCTACGCTAAATGCAATACTCAAACCGGCAATAAAGAGCAGTGTCAAAAGTGGAAGAGGTCTGGTACTGTAATCACCAATTCACCGGATAAGGGTAGCAGTTGTAAGAAATCCTCCATACAACGGGAGAAACCTATGTCCAGGAATGGGTTTTTATGGACATACACTCAATAGACTATTGAAATAAGAACATTACAAGTCATACAAAATTCACAGCTAATTTAGTTAATCTGTCAGTAATTATTTTGTTGGCAACATTTTGAAATTCTTAGGCGGCAATCTCTAATCTTTGCGACTGTTTGGCCACAGACTGTTGTGTATGTCATTTTTTTATATTGGCAGTATGAACGTAAATAATGAATATCTTTGTTGTTTATATTAAATACTAACTAAATTTTAACTTTTTGTACTTCTAACTTTTTGTACTTCTTCTCTATATAAACTTTGACTATGCAAAATCTCACACTTCTCAAAAAGCAAGATACATATCCTCTTTATACGATAGGGTGACCAACGAGCACACATTCCACCTGATGGTAAGTGGTTGCTGTGACCAATAGATATCTACATCTATCCTCAATAAAGAATCAAAATGCAGATGCGTTGTCACTCGTGACTTTTTTTTACAGAAAAAGGGTCTCCAGATTTCTACACTCACCATACGAAACACAGCAGTGTTAAGCAGCTATTTTACGCTGGTATTCTGTGAGACCGTGGTCGTTCTCCGGTCGAGCCGACCCATCCGTGCTACAACTATACTACTAATATAGCTGTAGCGTGGCTCTACCACGTATACGATAGATATTAAAAATAACATTTTTCCCATGGATTTTTACTAATAATTTTTTATAGTAGTGGAACCCAAGCGGGGATTTAGGGATTTATTCAAGCGCGACAGAATTTTACAAAAGGGGAAACCTTGCACCCTGTTGAGTACTCACATAATTTTATGACGTGGTAGAGCCATGCTGCAGCTGTATTACTGGTATAGCCCGCTCGACTCGAGGTCCTCGCTCTCACAGAATACCAACGTAAAATAGCAGCTTAACGCTGCTGTGTTTCGTATGGTGAGTGTAGAGAACCGGAGACTCTTTTTACTGGAAACGAGGCATTCCATCTTAGTCCTCACAGGTGACAACGCATCTGTATTGTGATTCGTAATCGAAGATAGATGTAGATGTCTATGGCCCACAGCAACCACTTACCATCAGTTGGACTGTGTGCTCGTTTGTCACCCTTATCTTATAAAAAAAACCTGAGCCCTTTATCGAGCCTTTGTCGAGCGTCTAGAGCAGCCGATTAGATTAGTAAAAAGAAGTCGATCGTTAGAAAAACTCGAGCGCGTCAGATTAAGGCAAGATGAGTTAATTACCTACAGAAAAGTGTGCATTTCAATAATCTGACAATTTGAGCGTGACGTAAGGAAATGGGAGAGTCACAAAGTATTGCAAAAAAAAATGCTTTACCTGGGAATTCTCGAGCGCAGTTAATTTTTTTAACATAACAATATGTAATAAAACTAGCTCGCCAGGCAGACGTTGTTCTGCCCTTTCCAACCACCCTTCCTACAAAAATTCTTAAAATCGCAATAAAAAATTTTGAGGGTAATTTATCGGGATAAAACTATCCTATCTCTCAAGTTGGACCAAAATGCACACAGTGTGCAAAATTTCATTGAAATCAGTTCAGTAGTTTAGGAGTTCATCGCGGACAAACAACGTGACACGTAATTTTTATATATAAAGATATAATAATAATGATGACAATAACATAATCTGGCGATTTGCACAAGCCGAAATAGCTAAAATCATCAATAAAGTGTGGTGCATGCAACCGCTGAGAACTATAAATTTCCCACTTTGCGCAACTCTGCCCTTCTCACTCTTTCAATATCTCTTACTCTCTTGCACAGTCCCTACGGAACGTTCCGTCGCAATGAACCATAATGCCATCCATTGAGCTATAATGTACTACGTACTAGAGAAGCTATTCCAAACAAAAAATGTGCGCTACTCTGTGTCTCCGCGCATGCGTGGTTTTTGTCAGCATAGATTATACGTACATAGAATGATCAGTATGTAATAAGTAATTGTTTATTTAGATTGTATTGTAAATTATATCGAGTACAATTTTTTTTTTGTTATTTATTTTGCATTTATGTGTTAATTTAATATAACATAATATTATGACAGAATTACATTTTAATGATATTTTATTTAATACTTTAAAAGGTAAATATGTAAAATATAAAAATATTAATTTATTTTCAAAGATCATTATTATTACTTTTCTAGAATTATCTAACGTAATTATACACAGCTGGTGAATAATAGTGTAAAATCAATGCGAAATCACGTTAAGGTGCATGCAGTGTATTAATAAATAATGCGTGCTCTGTTTATTCTTTCTCATTAAAGATTCATGTAACTCCAAAACTTCTGCTTTAGCCATTAAATCAATCTCAGCATTTAGTTTGAGACCGAATTTATGTTTAAAATTTTGTCCAATTGATTTGTAAGAAGCGCATTTTTTCTTTAGATAAATATTTTGGCTTTGTATTTTATTAAATTTCTCAGAAAGTTTCTTTCTAGCTGCAGATTCCTTGCTGTTAAATACAAAAACAATATTACTACGTGCTCATATTTTATTATTTTTATAATGACCTAGAATTATTGATTCCGTTACTAAGGTAGAACTATATTTAAAAACTTAGGCTTCGTATACATCACTCAAATTAGGCTTTGGAGACATCACTTGCGTAATTTATTTGTAAGTACAATTTTGCTTGGACTATCAAAAATTGAATTTGAACTGCTTATTGATTCAGATAACGATTCTGATACTTCCTGTTCACCAAATTTTGTTGGCTGAAAAAAAAAATTACTAATTATTTGGGAAGCCTGTAAAACTTCTAGCGTTACAGTATTAAAAAACCGCCATATACTAGTGTGAGTCGCGCGCCGAGGGTTCCACCTCTCTTAAGTCCCGTAAATATATTGAACATTACAAAAAATTCATTCGTAGTCTAATCAGAAAATAAAATTAGAATCCCAGCAATGTTATATAATAATATAATAAACGTTATCGCATGTTACTGCTGATTTCTGAATTACATTTAAATGATATTTTTATTTGAATATTTTAAAAGTAACTATGTAAAATATAAAAAAATATACTAAATGTATGTGTAACAAAACTTATTGATATTACATATAATTTACAAATATATTTATTTAGATTCTAAGAGTCATTCATAAATGCTGGGCACGCGAGATTTTAAATGGATGAATTTATTCCACTTTCTCTCTTTTCATAGCTTGGACGTGGAAACCTAAAAATAAAATGAAAGAATAATCAACAAATTTAAATATCAGAAATTTTGCCTAATTATGAATACTTTACATTTGTTTCTACAAAAAAAAAACATATTATATTATGCACAATTATTCTCACACTAAGTACATACAGTAACGTCGCATCTGAACAAATTAATTTCATAATCTATATTTCATGACCCTAGATGGCGTCTTACGAATAATTTGTTTGATTATTATTATATAATACTTTTTTATTAAGTATTTTACTCAACGATTAAAAGTTATTCCTTGGTATTTGCTAACATTTCTTGAATTATTTGTGCAATATCTAAAACACGCCATGGTGTATTTTATCAAGTTTTTTTTTTTTTTATATAATCAACACAACATGTGCCAACTAGCGCCTAGCGAGCGACTGAGCAAAGTGCGGCACTATCACCGCAGTTGAATGGCACAACGTAACTTAATGCAGTGTTGCCTCCAGCACGTAGTACAACGCTTGCATGTACAACGTTTTGGTTTATATTATATTTAAAAAAAAAGTTTATTGAATTCAGTGCAGAAAGTTAGTAAATGTTAAAACAATGAGTGATAGGTCAAATTGTGCATTTTGTGGCCAAAACACATTTGGAAAAATAATAATATTTACGTTGGAAACATAAAAAAAATGCAAGACGGTTTTGAAGTGTCGTCGAAGTAAACCGGTTCGCAGAAAATACCGCGGCACATTTAATGAAGTAGAATTTTCGATCGTAGATGAAAACAACCAGAACGAACCGAACTTCAAATATGAAAACAATTCCACTGACGATGAAGATTGAAAAAAAATATTTTTAATTTTTTATGTTATAATACTATTTTTTTCTAAATACAGGATAGAATTTTACCTGTATACATATATATTTTATATTTTATTTTTTACATTTAGTAATAGATATTTATAGATATATCCAACCATTAGTTCAGAGTCAGTACGACAAGGACATCAAGATGAAGCGTCTGTATTATTGTTGTTTTCATAATTCACTGCTTCACAATATGTTGATGCGTCACATTGTGCAGCCCTTGGGAGATTTTGACGGCAACTTGAGCCAGCAGGCAGCTGACAGTTGGCGATGGTATCTAAAGGCGCCTATGCAAACAAACAACTTATCTTAAGAATCCATCACCA